GTCAATCATCAGGTCCTCCACTTCATTCTGCAGCCTCTGCTTTGTCTTTTCCAGGGAGGCACATTTGGCATTGACAGCTTCCACGTGTTCCTCTGCATCCTGCAGGCGCTGGGCCAGCTTCTTCCTGGCAGGAGGGAAGCACAGGGCCAGCTTAGAGCTTAGAAGGGACTCAGTTCTGCCCTGCCAGGAAAGGGCAGTTGGCCACTTTGGGGCTTTGGAGATGAGCACTTTTCACACATCCTAAAGGATCTATCCTTTCTGTGTCCTAGCACCTAGGGAGCATTAGGCCTGTCTTAGCACTTCTAGCCCTAAAGCTTTCGAGAGACACTTATTTTCTCCTCCCTTCTCTCCCCTTTGCCACAAAGACAGTATATCCCTGCCTTCATGCCAACCCTGTCTCCCCCCACTCAGAGACTCCCCTTCCCTTGCCCAATCTCAGTCTCCTGCAGTCATTTCTCCTCCCACTGCCCACGTACTTGGCCTCCTCGAGCTCCTCCGTGCGCTGAATCGCGTCCGTCTCGTATTTGGTTCTCCACTGGGCCACTTCGCTGTTGGCCTTGGACAGGGCACGCTGCAGCTCCCCCTTGGCTTCCTGCTCCTCCTCATATTGTTCCCGCAGCAAGTCACAGTCGTGGCGAGCGGACTGCAGGGCGTGGGCCAGGGCGTTCTTGGCCTGTGGGGACATGGGGGTGGGTAACTCCAAGACCTGTCTTGAGATGCCTCTTGACACTGAAATTGTCAGGCAGTGAAAGTAGAATGAACATCTCATTGGGCAAATACAGAACTGGGATCTCCTTATTGATGTGTCTGGAGGATCAGGACATGTTAGTGACAGGTGCTCTGGGGACAGTAATCAGCTGTGTGTGTAGATGTTTTGACATGTGTGGCTGAATCCTGTCTTAGAGAGGATCCTCAGAACTGCAAGAAACCCTTGTGAAGGACTTCCTCCAGCATCTAAAGCATCACACATCCCTCCCTCTCCAACTCACAAGTAGAGGTGTGTGTGTTATTGGTGGTCCCTCCAATCCTTCAGGTGTTTGGGGAAAGAACATTGAACCAACCAGTCTTGGGTCAGACTAGATTCTCCTGATCCTATATGCAGGGCTGATACAGGCTGTGGACACTAGGGTGTTTCCATACCTTGA